TTTAATCCTTAGTCAGTCATCTGATGACTGCTTTGCAGATGCATGATGGGAAATGTTGAATAGAATGTCAAAGAAAATAGTTTTTTGAAGAAAATGAAGAACTGCATACTGCTCTTGCCAGTATAACAGGTTTCTTTATCTTTGTGTAGTGGCTTGCTGGCCTTCGTCAGAGCCTTTAAGAAAATAACAGAAATGGCAAGGTATCGTTTATTTATTTTGAGACAACATTTTGCCCGTAACATGAGTGCCCTCTATCTCCTACAAAGAAGATTCTCCAGGTGGGTTGTAGCACAAAGACGTCACAGAGAGCCACTGCTGTGAATAACCCACACCAGAACAGCTACTGTGAATAACCCACATCAGAACAGCTACTGGGAATAACCCACATCAGAACAGCTACTGTGAATAACCCACAACAGAACAGATACTGTGAATAACCCACATCAGAACAGCTACTGGGAATAACCCACACCAGATACTATGAATAACCCACACCAGAACAGCTACTGCGAATAACCCACACCAGAACAGATACTGTGAATAACCCACACCAGAACAGCTATTATGAATAACCCACAACAGAACAGCTACTGCAAATAACCCACACCAGAACAGATACTGTAAATAACCCACAACAGAACAGATACTGTGAATAACCCAAACCAGAACAGATACAGCAGAGATCCATCCAGCTAGTGTGACAGTGACATCCATCTCTCTCCATGGGGCATTGGGCCTGGGGAGCAGGGTCATGCTGGGAGTAGTGTAATGAGGAGCAGTGCAATCAACCTGCCTCTACGTAGACAACTGTGTTCCGGTCATGTTGTTTCCTGGACTGGTGTTGTGTTGACTTGGACACATGTGGATTTATGACTCACATCTCCTGTGATTCTTCTTGTAAGTCTTGATGACTCACCTCTCCTGTGATTCATCTTGTAAATATTGACTTACATATGACATTTTAGTAATTCAGTAGACACTCTTATCCAGAGCGACTTACAGTTAAGACTTCCTTCACACCTTCTGGATTGACTGACCTTCATGTCTTAAAGTAATGATGGACTGTCATTTCTCTTTGCTTATTTGAGCTGTTCTTGCCATAATATGGACTTGGTCTTCTACCAAATAGGGCTATCTTCTGTATACCACCCCTACTTTGTCACAACACAACTGATTGGCTCAAACGCATTAACAAGGAAAGAAATTCCACAAATTAAGTTTTAAGAAGGCACACCTGTTAATTGAAATGCATTCCAGGTGACTACCGCATGAAGCTGGTTGAAAGAATGCCAAGAGTGTGCAAAGCTGTCATCAAGGCAAAGGGTGGCTACTTTGAAGAATCTCAAATATAAAACATATTTTGATTTGTTTAACACTTTTTTGGTTAGTACATGATTCCATATGTGTTATTTCATAGTTTTGATGTCTTCACTATTATTCTACAATGTAGAAAATAGTAGAAATAAAGAAAAACCCTTGAATGAGTAGGTGTGTCCAAACTTTTGACTGGTACTGTATATATACATATATACAGTGTTTTTCTAGACATTTCGAGAATATTCCCAAGGCTGAACTGTCTGCAATTCCACTCATAGTTCACATTCTGTTCACATACCTGTAAAATACACATACTTAACATTTAACCTTCATGATTCAGTATATATACACATTGCAAAAGTGTGACTCTTATTCTGTGTATTAAAGCTAGACAGTCAAGCGTTTACATCTGCAACACTCTCATTCATCACACAACTAATGGAATTGCGGGTCAGGGAGTCGTTTCTGTCTGAGAAAACCTCTCCATCAACAGCCCTTGACAGTGAGAGAAGCAGAGAGAGTGAAGGCAGGCAGCCAGGCAGGCAGGCAGCCAGGCAGGCAGGCAGGCAGGCAGGCAGCCAGGCAGGCAGGCAGGCAGGCAGGCAGGCAGGCAGGCAGGCAGGCAGGCAGGCAGGCAGGCAGCCAGGCAGGCAGGCAGCCAGGCAGGCAGCCAGGCAGGCAGGCAGGCAGGCAGGTAGGTAGCCATGCAGGCAGGCAGCGCTAGCTGGTGAATAATAACTAAGTTCTCTGAGATAAGCATTTAGAGGTCAAATACCCTTGAAACAACAGTCAACACATTAAAGTATTGTGGGGCCGTAAAGAAGGAGGAGAAGGAGATGTGCTGAAGAAGTATTTTGATGAGCACACACACACACACACACTCTCTCTCTCTCTCTCTCGTCATAATGGAGAAGACGTGCAGCAGCTATAATATACTAGAGAAGAGCTAAGGAGTAGCAAAGAATAGCTCTGTAGAGAGAGGGAGGTAAAGCTCTGTAGAGAGAGGGAGGTAAAGCTCTGTAGAGAGGGAGGTAAAGCTCTGTAGAGAGGGAGGTAAAAATGTAGAGAGAGGGAGGTAAAAATGTAGAGAGAGGGAGGTAAAGCTGTAGAGAGAGGGAGGTAAAAATGTAGAGAGAGGGAGGTAAAGCTCTGTAGAGAGAGGGAGGTAAAGCTATGTAGCGAGAGGGAGGTAAAAATGTAGAGAGAGGGAGGTAAAGCTGTAGAGAGAGGGAGGTAAAGCTCTGTAGAGAGAGGGAGGTAAAGCTCTGTAGAGAGAGGGGGGTAAAGCTCTGTAGAGAGAGGGGGGTAAAGCTCTGTAGAGAGAGGGGGGTAAAGCTCTGTAGAGAGAGGGAGGTAAAGCTCTGTAGAGAGAGGGAGGTAAAGCTCTGTAGCGAGAGGGAGTTAAAGCTGTAGAGAGAGGGAGGTAAAGCTGTAGAGAGAGGGAGGTAAAGCTCTGTAGAGAGAGGGAGGTAAAGCTTGTAGAGAGAGGGAGGTAAAGCTATGTAGAGAGGGGGGGGTAAAGCTGTAGAGAGAGGGAGGTAAAGCTCTGTAGAGAGAGGGGGTATAGCTCTGTAGAGAGAGGAAGGTAAAGCTCTGGAGAGAGGGAGGTAAAGCTCTGTAGAGAGAGGAAGGTAAATCTCTGTAGAGAGAGGGAGGTAAATCTCTGTAGAGAGAGGGAGGTAAAGCTCTGGAGAGATTGAGGTAAAGCTCTGTAGAGAGAGGGAGGTAAAGATATGTAAAAAGAGGGAGGTAAAGCTCTGTAGAGAGAGGGAGGTAAAGCTCTGTAGAGAGAGGGAGGTAAAGCTCTGTAGAGAGAGGGATGTAAAGCTCTGTAGAGAAAGGGAGGTAAAGCTTTGTAGAGAGAGGGAGGTAAAGCTCTGTAGAGAGAGGGAGGTAACGCTCTGTAGAGAGAGGGAGGTAAAGCTCTGTAGAGAGAGGGAGGTAAAGCTCTGTAGAGAGAGGGAGGTAAAGCTGTAGATAGAGGGAGGTAAAGCTCTGTAGAGAGAGGGAGGTAAAGCTGTAGAGACAGGGTGGTAAAGCTATGTAGAGAGAGGGAGGTAAAGCTGTAGAGAGAGTGAGGTAAAGCTCTGTAGAGAGAGGGAGGTAAAGCTGTAGAGAGAGTGAGGTAAAGCTCTGTAGAGAGAGGGAGGTAAAGCTGTAGAGAGAGGGAGGTAAAGCTGTAGAGAGAGGGAGGTAAAGCTCTGTAGAGAGAGGGAGGTAAAGCTGTAGAGAGAGGGAGGTAAAGCTCTGTAGAGAGAGGGAGGTAAAGATATGTAAAAAGAGGGAGGTAAAGCTCTGTAGAGAGAGTGAGGTAAATGTTTGTAGAGAGAGGGAGGTAAAGCTCTGTAGAGAGAGGGAGGTAAAGCTCTGTAGAGAGAGGGAGGTAAAGCTGTAGAGAGAGTGAGTTAAAGCTCTGTAGAGAGAGTGAGTTAAAGCTCTGTAGAGAGAGGGAGGTAAAGCTCTGTAGAGAGAGGGAGGTAAAGCTATGTAGAGAGAGGGAGGTAAAGCTCTGTAGAGAGAGGGAGGAAAAGATATGTAAAAAGAGGGAGTTAAAGCTCTGTAGAGTGAGGGAGGTAAAGCTCTGTAGAGAGAGGGAGGAAAAGCTCTGTAGAGAGAGAGGGAGGTAAAGCTGTAGAGAGAGGGAGGTAAAGCTGTAGAGAGGGGAGGTACAGCTCTGTAGAGAGAGGGAGGAAAAGATATGTAAAAAGAGGGAGGTAAAGCTCTGTAGAGTGAGGGAGGAAAATATAAGTAAAAAGAGGGAGGTAAAGCTCTGTACAGTGAGGGAGGTAAAGCTCTGTAGAGAGAGGGAGGTAAAGCTCTGTAGAGAGAGAGGGAGGTAAAGCTCTGTAGAGAAAGGGAGGTAAAGCTGTAGAGAGAGGGAGGTAAAGCTGTAGAGAGAGGGAGGTAAAGGTTTGGAAGATACACAACCTCATTTAATGTAGAATAAAAACATCTAAAGCTTATAGACTGAATACTGATATAAAATGCAGGTAACACTTTATTTGGAGATTCTTAACCCTTATCCTAACCCAAAACTTAAACCTTACCCTAACCCTAACCTTAACCTTAAACCTTATTCAAAACCTAACCCTAACCGTAACCTTAGCAAGCAGTTGCTTATCATCAGATAGTTTGTTGATAGTATGACCATCTGTAGATGCGTTTAGCTTGTATTTTCATGCTAATCATTTAGTTTTTTTCTACCCTACATACACACACACTCTCTTGCTCTCACTCACACACACACACTCTACTTTACTGAAAGCTCCGCCCCTCACACACTTGTATTACACAACTGAACACTGCTAACCTGTACAGGATAAAGTCCACCACAACAATGTAAAACACATCTCTTTCAGGAATTGAACAGTTAACTCTGCTCTAAACTGCAAAGCTCCTCCCCTTACGCATACAGAATGCAGGAAGTACAATTCTGTGAAGTACAGTACTATTCAGATCTCTGCTACTGCTGTTTATTTGCCTGTTTTGTTCAACGAAAGACGGACGACACGACACAGGAACTATTACTCATTACTAGATTCAACATTTCAGCATAGATACTGGAGGAGATAAGGCCATAGATCTGCTAACAAACAGGGTGAGTCTTTAAAAGTGGGAGTAAACTCTGCTTCCTCAGGCCATTACAGAGGAGCGAGGGGAGTGTGTGTGACAGAGGGAAAAAAATGGCTTGCAAGTTGTCTCTCCCAGAGGTGGATTTCTCCTGTGCTGTGTGCTGTGACATCTTCAAGGATCCTGTCATCCTGTCATGTAGCCACAGTTTCTGTAAAGCCTGTCTGCAGGAATTCTGGAAAGAGAAGCCATCTCAAGTGTGTCCAGTTTGCAGGAGAAGATCCTCAAGGTCTGAGCCTCCCAATAACCTGGCTCTCAAGAACCTGTGTGAGGCCTACTTACAGTCGAGGAGTCGGAGAGCTTCGGCAGGGTCTGAGGTGCTCTGCAGTCAGCATGGAGAGAAACTCAAGCTCTTCTGTAAGGAGGATAAACAGCCTATCTGTGTGGTGTGTCGCGATTCAAGGAAACACAGAACACATGAGTCCATCCCTATAGATGAAGCTGTACAGGAACATAAGGTACAGTAAACCATTGTATTGTTAATAGTCAGTGTGCAGAATTCCCTTTTTTCTTTTTAAAATGACCACTTGTTTTTCACCTTGACAATGATAATTGATGGTGACAAGACACTAATGTAAATATACACTGAATATTACAACTGGAATAAATGTGGTATTGTACAACATCTTGTTTAATTCCAGGAGAGACTCAAGCCTACGTTGACATCCTTACAGGAGAAACTGGAAGTCTTTACGAAAGTTAAACTCACCTGTGATGAAACAGCACAGCATATCAAGGTGAGATGCTGAGAGATACAGTTGAAGTCGGATGTTTACATACACTTAGGTTGGAGTCATTTTTCAACCACTCCACAAATTTCTTGTTAACAAACATATATAGTTTTGGCAAGTCGGTTAGGACATCTACTTTGTGCATGACACAAGTAATTTTTCCAACAATTATTTACAGACAGATTATTTCACTTATAATTCACTGTATCACAATTCCAGTGGGTCAGAAGTTTACATACACTAAGTTGACTGTGCCATTAAACAGCTTGGAAAATTCCAGAAAATTATGTCATGGCTTTAGAAGCTTCTGATAGGCTAATTGACATCATTTGAGTCAATTGGAGGTGTACCTGTGGATGTATTTCAAGGCCCACCTTCAAACTCAGTGCCTCTTTGCTTGACATCATGGGAAAATCTAAAGAAATCAGCCAAGACCTCAGAAAAAAAATGTAGACCTCCACAAGTATGGTTCATCATTGTTTATACCACGTTCATCTGTATAAACAATAGTACGCAAGTATAAACACCATGGGACCACGCAGCCGTCATACCACTCAGGAAGGAGACTTGTTCTGTCTCCTAGAGATGAACGTACTTTGGTGCGAAAAGTGCAAATCAATCCCAGAACATCAGCAAAGGACCTTCTGAAGATACTGGAGGAAACAGGTACAAAAGTATCTATATCCACAGTAAAACGAGTCCTATATCAACATAACCTGAAAGGCCGCTCAGCAAGGAAGAAGCCATTGCTCCAAAACCGCCATAAAAAAGTCAGACTACGGTTTGCAACTGCACATGGGGACAAACATCTTATTTTTTGGAGAAATGTCCTCTGGTTTGATTAAACAAAAATAGAACTGTTTGGCCGTAATTACCATCGTTATGTTCGGAGGAAAACGGGGAAGGCTTGCAAGCCGAAGAACACCATCCCAACCGTGAAGCACAGGGGTGGCAGCATCGTGCTGTGGGGGTGCTTTGCTGCAGGAGGGACTGGTGCACTTCACAAAATAGATGACTTCATGAGGAAGGAAAATTATGTGGATATATTGAAGCAACATCTCAAGACATCAGTCAGGAAGTTAAAGCTTGGTCGCAAATGGGTCTTCCAAATGAACAATGACCCCAAGCATGCTTCCAAAGTTGTGGCAAAATGGCTCAAGGACAACAAAGTCAAGGTATTGGAGTGGCCATCACAAAACCCTGACCTCAATCCTATAGAACATTTGTGGGCAGAATTGAAAAAGCGTGTGCGAGCAAGGAGGCCTACAAACCTGTCTCAGTTACACCAGCTCTGTCAGGAGGAATGGGCCAAAATTCACCCAACTTATTGTGGGAAACTTGTGGAAGGCTACCCAAAATGTTTGACCCAAGTTAAACAATTTAAAGGCAATGCTACCAAATACTAATTGAGTTTATGTAAACTTCTGACCCACTGGGAATGTGAATAAATAAATAAAAGCTGAAATAAATCATTATCTCTACTATTATTCTGACATTTCACATTCTTAAAATAAAGTGGTGATCCTAACTGACCTAAGACAGGGAATTTTTACTAGGATTAAATGTCAGGAATTGTGAAAAACTGAGTTTAAATGTATTTGGCTAAGGTGTATGTAAACTTCCGACTTCAACTGTATAACACTACTGTAAATATTGTATACGTCTGATTTATTATTTTTAGTTCCATTTAACAAGGTCATATTTTCAGAGATACGTTCATCTTGTTTCTCCAGAGGCAAGCCCAGCAAACAGAGATGCAGGTTAAGGTGGAGTTTAAGAAGCTTCACCAGTTTCTACGTGATGAAGAGCGGGCCAGGCTAGCTGTACTGAGGGAGGAAGAGGAGCAGAAGAGTCAGTTGATGAAGAAGAAGATTGAGGAGATGAGCAGTGTGATGTCATCTCTTTCAGACACAATCAGAGCCGTAGAGGAAGAGCTGAAGACATCTCATTCTTACATGTAAATACTTTTTTTTACAGAATAAACATAACACATAAAGTTACAGATGTATCGCTAAATTAAATTACATCATCATCTTTATGTTAATTATGTTAAAAACATAGCCCTGTTTTTTCGTTCTTCTGCAGACATGCCAGGCCACGGTGAAAAGGTAAGTGATCTGCCTCCCGTCTCTCTCTTCTCTGTGGTTCTGAACCCAAGCCCACAGCAGCACTGACTCCTGAATGTTCTTCCAGAGCCCAGTGCACACAGCCGGATCCACAGCTGGTCTCAGGAGGGCTGGTAGACATGGCCAAACACCTGGGGCAACCTGAAGTTCAGAATCTGGGAGAAGATGCAGGACATTGTTAAATATAGTGAGACGTATATTCTGATCATGAGAACGCCTTCATGAAGTTACATGATTTCGATACTGTACATTCACACAGTGTAATGACTGAAACATTTACTGGACCCCAACACTACCAGCCTGTATAGTATATTATGGATGTAGTTTCACTTTATCACAAGTTCTTTATAGTGTGTCTCTGTTCTCCCTGTTCAGGTCCTGTGATTCTGGACCCCAACACTGCCAGCCAGGTCCTCACCCTGTCTGAGGACCTGACCGGTGGGATGATCAGTTACTCACCAGAACAGTTCCCTGACAACCCAGAAAGGTTTGAAAGCAAGTTTATGAATGGATGGGTCCTGGGCTCTGAGGGCTTTAACTCAGGGAAACACAGCTGGGATGTTGAGGTTGAACACAAATTTTCCTACTTTGTAGGTGTGGCCACTGAGTCTGTCAATAGGTCTAATCCTTGGGATGACGTCTGGGCTTTTCAACACAATGACAATGTTTTAAATTTAGATGAATATGAATATGAAGTACTGTGCCCAAACAGTGAACCCATTGGTCTCATATTGAGAGGGAGACCCCATAGGATCAGAGTGCAGCTGGACTGGGACAGAGGAGAGCTGTCATTATTTTCTGCATATTTTAACACACATATACATACTATTACACATACTTTCACAGAGACAGTCTTTCCAATATTTTATACATCTTTGGGCAAGCTAAATATTTTACCAGTTAGGGTCTCTGTAACAGTTGAGAGTTGAGAGATGAAACCACCTCTGTCTGTAACAGGGGAACAGCACAGTTAGAGATGAAACCACCTCTGTCTGTAACAGTGAATACATGTGATTTTCATCCAGTTGATTTAGCCCTAGCCACAAGATAATCTGTCTATAGAAAACATGTTATTTCAAGGAGTCTAATAAAACCATTGATCTTCAAATGTTTACTTTTTGCTATGTCTACAAATTGATTTCATGTGCACACACACACACAGAAACACACATACACACCTACAAACAAACACACACACATATATATATATATATATATATATATATATACTTCTGCCAGGTAAGCCTACTTTGCAGTTAACATTTCGTTGAAAAGGTTTGGGGGAAAGTATTTCTGTCAACCCACAAGACGGTTATCACATCAACTGGAAATGAATTGGCAGATATTGTGTTAGGTTGGCTTTTTAATCCAACAGTGGCTAACCAGGGGTGGGATAATGTAAATGTTGCGTTGGTTAGATAGTAGCCGAAACTCTCTCTCGCTTTTCTAGGTTACTCTATCCTTTCTTTACTTTCTCAATATCTGTCATTACTGTATATTCACAGCCAGGTCACCCGTGATGCAAGTCACTATTCGACGTCCATCCATGTCTGAGGACGTCGGAAGATTATGTAGAACCTGGCCCCTAGGGGCAACAGTGATCACTGTTACCTTCATGTAGGTTTGGGTTTTACTAAGGTGTTGTGGACAGGGATGGCGAATGGGCGTAAGCATCTGCCTCTGGTTCCAAAGGTTGTACAAATCCAGCAATGGAACATTTATTTTCTTTAAGCCTATCGCAAACCTTAACCCTTACCTTAACCATTCAGAGTTAATGCCGGACCTTAAGAATTAGGAATTAATGCCTAAAGTTAACCTAAACACTTCTAAATTTGTCGTTTGGAACAACTTCAAAATTGGACATTTAAGAAACATGGATGAACTTCTAATTCCGACGTGAGACTGTGAGAGCCAGTTGATATTCCTACCCTTACTCTCTCACTATCATGAGGGAAAGTCTGGCGCAAACCAAAGACATCTACTCTCTCTTCACCTTCCTCACTATCTCTGTGGATGTATTGCGTCTGTCCTTCGGTGACTTTCTAAGAAGTGCTTCTTGCCATAGGCCCATAATGTTATCTGAATAGAAGGAGCTTGTTCTGAATGAAAAGGGTAGACAGTATGTCACTGGCTTGGATTGTTGTTTGAGAGATAGCGTTTGGGGAACGGAGATACCAATGTGTAAATGATGTGGCTCTAATTCGGTCAGTCAATCTCAGGAAAATATTTAAAACTGCACTGCATTCCCATCAGGTCCGGTCAGGGCCCGTATCCACAAAGCATCTCAGAGTAGGAGTGTTGATCTAGGATACATTTTTTTCCTTTTAGATTATAATGATTAAAGATTATATGGACCTGATCCTAGATCAGCACTCTTACTCTGAGATGTTTTGTGGGTACAGGCCCATGTCTCTAACACCACAATGGGATTTGATGAGTCATTGGTGGAAAACTGTGGAAAGAGAACAATGTAGATTAATTTATATTTGGGACAATGGCAGGATCTGAGAAATAACTGCATTCTCTAGAGCCTGGAGTTTAAATATTCATACGCTTTGTTTTTAAAAACCCAAAGGAGATCTCTACGGATCAGGTGTTTTGCTGAAACTAATGGAATAGTTTTGAGTGTATTCGTTGAATAGAGGAAGATTAATTTCATAGAGGGAACTCAAGGTGAACGCTGGATATCCAGATACTCTAACAGAACACACGCACACACACATGAACACACGCACACATACATATTCACACACAAAACATACACACATACACACACCACAAACACACACAAACCCTCTTTCTCTCTCTCTCTCTCTCTCTCTCTCGCTCTATCTGTCCCTCTCTCTTGCTCTCTCTCTCTCTCTCTCTCTCTCTCTCTCTCTCTCTCTCTCTCTCTCTCTCTCTCTCTCTCTCTTTCTTTCTGTCTCTGAATCTCCAGATACCTTGTAAACCTCCCAGCACGATTTCTGATAACAGTATTGTAATTAGAGCTAACAGCTGTGGTTTCTGACACATCCAGTCTACATGTCACCAGCAGAACATGTCCATTCCCCAAGCTGCTCTGTACACATCTGTTCAATCTGGTGCCCCTGTTAATGACGAACAGCGAGTGCAGACGATGGTTGACGTTTTGTACAACCATGTTCTGTACAGATCCAGGAAGTGTGTGTGTGTGTGTGTGTGTGTGTGTGTGTGTGTGTGTGTGTGTGTGTGTGTGTGTGTGTGTGTGTGCGTGCGTGCGTGCGTGTGTGTGTGTACGTGCCTGCGTACTGTACATGTGTGGCCGTGGGCGAGAGAGTGTTTTGTCAGACACAGAGAGAGGATTTGCCCAGGCAAAGAGAATAGCAAATAAAAGGCAGGTAATTAATTTGGACAGAGCTAATCACAACAGCCATCCTTCCCTAATGTACTGGCCTTATTACCTACAAGTAATTAGAGAGAGAGAGAGAGAGAGAGAGAGAGAGAGAGAGAGAGAACGGGAGAGAGAAATAGAAAAAGTTTGAGAAGAAAATATTCACCACAGCCCCAGGATAAGCCCTATGAGAGGCCCCATTGTGTTTGTGCCCTGGGTTAAGGCATAGACAGAGAACCATGAGGTCTATTTAGAGGGCTTGTTGATTTAGTGGAGTCTCAATAGAAGGTCTGTTTGAATGGCCTCATTTATCTAGAGTGCAGAGAAAAGGTTGATTGCATAGGTTCCCCCATTGTGTGTCCATGGGGGAAAAGACTCATGGGCTCCTCATCAATAACATAATGTATTACCAATGTGTTTCCCATCTCCCATGGTATTCCCAGCATTCCTATTTCAAAATATCATATACAGTTATACATCTGTTTCAAAGGTAAAAATCCTCAATAGACTTCTTCAGAAATGTCCATTTTAAATATCTATTTAAACACCCAAGGAATTATTTACACCACATAGTGACTTAACTACACAGACTTGATAAGAAGAAGAAGAAGAAGAAGAAGAAGAAGAAGAAGAAGAAGAAGAAGAAGAAGAAGAAGAAGAAGAAGAAGACAAAATGGGGGAACCTCATCAATCAACCTTTTCTCTGCACTCAAGATAGATGAGGCCATTCAAACAAGGGTTTTCAACAGACCTTCTATTGAGGATCCACTAAATCAACAAGCCCTCTAAATAGACTTCATGATGTGCTTCATTCTATAGCTACAGGACTCCTGATATCTCAAGGAGTGAGAAGTATAATTTTTTGTCTTTATCTTTTGTGGTCTTGTACTGTCTTTTTGCTAGCTAGGGCCATCTACTTGAAGTGCTGCCTGTCTTCCCAGTGGCCTACCTGGTGTGTGAACTACTGACTGCTCATCATTTGCAGATAGTTGTTAACTCATCAACCAGTATCAAGGGGCAGGGAAATGTGTGACTTGTTTTGGTAATCAGTGGCTGTATTGGAGGGGAAGTGGTTTCATCTCTCCTTGGCAATCAGCAATTAGTAGAGGGAGGTGTGCTCTCTACCTCTGCTAGTCAATTAGCAATTAGTGTTAGTTCTTCAATCTCCCCTGGTTTCTCAACATCAGCTGTAAGCAACGGTCGTGTCAGTTTTGTCGCAAAACTAAGACCGTCGCCAAAACAAAGACTGTTCTGCCGAGATGTTCAGCAGAGTTGTTCCAGGAAGGAAAGAGAGGAAGGCTCTCTCACTGGAGTATTTTACATTTAAATTTTTAGTCATTTAGCAGATGCTCTTATCCAGAGCGACTTAAAGGAGCAATTAGGGTTAAGTGCCTTGCTCAAGGGCACATCAACAGATTTTTCACCTAGTCGGCTCGGGTATTAGAACCAGCGACCTTTCAGTTACTGGCACAACGCTCTTAACCACTAAACTACCTAGTTTTCTACAGATTATCTCATTTTGCTCTTTTGTAGCTTTGTCAACTATGTGTGTGTTTTCTATACCTGTTCGCACCTCTCTCTGTAGGCTTTACAGACGCTCCCCACCCCTTGGCTGCTCCTCTCCCTGTAGGCTTCACAGACGCTCCCCACCCCTTGGCTGCTCCTCTCCCTGTAGGCTTTACAGACGCTCCCCACCCCTTGGCTGCTCCTCTCCCTGTAGGCTTTACAGACGCTCCCCACTACTTGGCTGCTCCTCTCCCTGTAGGCTTTACAGACGCTCCCCACCCCTTGGCTGCTCCTCTCCCTGTAGGCTTTACAGACGCTCCCCACCCCTTGGCTGCTCCTCTCCCTGTAGGCTTCACAGACGCTCCCCACCCCTTGGCTGCTCCTCTCCCTGTAGGCTTTACAGACGCTCCCCACCCCTTGGCTGCTCCTCTCCCTGTAGGCTTTACAGACGCTCCCCACCCCTTGGCTGCTCCTCTCCCTGTAGGCTTTACAGACGCTCCCCACCCCTTGGCTGCTCCTCTCCCTGTAGGTTTTACAGACGCTCCCCACCCCTTGGCTGCTCCTCTCCCTGTAGGCTTTACAGACGCTCCCCACCCCTTGGCTGCTCCTCTCCCTGTAGGCTTTACAGACGCTCCCCACCCCTTGGCTGCTACTCTCCCTGTAGGCTTCACAGACGCTCCCCACCCCTTGGCTGCTCCTCTCCCTGTAGGCTTTACAGACGCTCCCCACCCCTTGGCTGCTACTCTCCCTGTAGGCTTTACAGACGCTCCCCACTACTTGGCTGCAACCCTTCTAATTTAGTGTCCCCTGTGCGCACAACCCATGTGGAATTCTGGGTCTCTGAAAGCGTTTGGAACTGCCGATCTGCGGTCAAGAACGCCGAGTTCATCTCAGCCTTTGCTGCCCTTCAGTCCCTTTACTTTTTGGCCCTCATGGAGACACGGATCACCCCAGAGAACACTGCTACTCCAGCTGCTCTTTCTTCATCTATGTTTTCTCTCATAGTCCGAGAGCATCTGGTCGTCTCCTGAGTGGAGATTGTTTCTCCCTCTCTCACCATCTCCTCATTTGAATTCCGTGATGTCATTGTCATTATTGTCATCTATCACGCACCAGGTGAGAGTTCCTCAATGAGCTTGACACCTTGATAAGCTCATTTACCGATGGTGGCTCACCGCTCTTCGTACTTGGCGACTTCAACCTCCCGACATATGCCTTCGATTAATTTCTTTCCAACTCTCTCTTTCCCCTCCATGCCTCTTTTGACCTCACCCTTTACTGATCCCCTCCCACTCACAAGACAGGCAATACGCTTGACCTTCTTTACTAGAGGCTGCTCGCCTATTAATCTCACTGCAACCCCCCTCCAGGTCTCTGATGACTACTTTGTTTCCTTTTCTGTCTGCCTTTCCTCCAACCCTAACCACTCAGCCACTACCCAGATCGTCATGCGCCGTCACAATCTTCGCTCTCTCTCTCCCACTACTCTCTCCTGATCTATCTTATCATCTCTCCCTTCTGCTAAATCCTTCTCCCTCCTGTCTCCTGATTCTGCCTCTTCAACCCTACTTTCCTCCTTTTCCGCATCCTATGACTCGCACTGTCCCCTTTCCTCCCAGCCAGCTCAGCCCTCCCCTCCTGCTCCATGGCTGGGTGACTCATTGCGAGCTTACTGAACAGGGCTGCGGACAGCTGAGCAAAAATGGAGGAAAACTAAACTTCCGGAGGACCTATCATCCTTTCACTCCCTCCACTCTACCTTCTCGTCCTCTGTATCTGCTGCTATGGCCAATTTCAAGCTTCTGCCTCTAACCCTCTAAAACTATTTTCCACCTTCTCCTCCCTCCTTAATCCTCCACCCCCTTCCAATCCCTCCTCCCACTCTGCTGACAACTTTGTCAACCACTTTGAGAAAAAGGTTGATGACATCCGCTACTCATTCACTCAGCCTATTGAGTTCACTGGTCTCACTCACACAGAACTACCCTACGCCTTGACCTCTTTCTCCCCTCTCTCTCTAGATGACCTCCTGCGACTAGTGAGGTTTAGCCAAACGACAACCTGCCCGCTCGACCCCATCCCCTCTTTGCTTCTCCAGACCATCTCTGGAGAGCTTCTCCCATTCCTTACTTCCCTCATCAACTCATCCCTGACCACTGGCTGCGTCCCCTCTGACTTCAAAATGGTCTGAGTTGCTTCCCTCCTCAAGAAACCAACACTCGACTCCTGTAACGTAAAAAACTACAGACCTGTATCCCTTTCTTTTCTTTCCAAAACACTTGAGCGTTCTGTCTCTGATCAACTCTCTCGTTATCTCTCTCAGAACTATCTTCTTGAACCTAACCAGTCAGGTTTCAAGACGGGTCACTCAACCAAGCCTGCTCTTCTCTGTGTCACGGAGGCTCTTCGCACTGCCAAAGCTGACTCTCTGTTCTCATCCTCATAGATCTATCCCCTGCCTTCAACACCGTGAACCATCAGATCCTCCTCTACACCCTCTCAGGGTTGGGCGTCTCAGGCTCTGCACAATCTTGGATTGCATCCGATCTGACAGGCTTCTCCTACCAGGTACGTGGAAGAAATCTGTGTCTGCACCACGTACTCTCACTACTGGTGTCCCCCAGGGCTCGGTTTTAGGCCCTCTTCTCGCTATACACCAAGTCACACTGCTCCGTCATATCCTCACATGGTCTCTCCTATCATTGCTATGAGGATGACACTCAACTACTTTTCTCCATTCCCCCTTCTGACACCCAGGTGGTGACATGCATCTCTGCATGTCTGGCAGATATCTCAGCTTGGATGTCGGCCCACCACCTCAAGCTCAACCAAACAAAACGGAACTGCTCTTCCTCCCTGGGAAGGCGTAACTAATCAACGACAGTTAACAACTCCACAGTGTCACCCTCCCATTGCAAAGAACCTTGGCGTGACCCTGGACAACACCCTGTTGTTCTCTGCAAACATCAAAGCAGTGACCCGATCCTGCAGGTTAATGCTCTACAACATCCGTAGAGTATGACCCCACCTCACACAGGAAGTGGCGCAGGTCCTAATCCAGGCACTTGTCCTCTCATGTCTGTACTACTGCAACTCGCTGTTGGCTGGGCTCCCCGCTTGTGCCATCAAACCCCTGCAACATATCCAGAATACTGCAGCCCGCCTGGTTTTCAACCTTACCAAGTTCTCTCATATCTCCAACTGCTCCTCTGCACACACCACTGGCTTCCAGTCGAAGCTCGCATCCACTACAAGACCATGATGCTTACCTACAGAACAGCAAGAGGAACTTCCCATCCCTACCTTCAGGCTATGCTCAAACCCTTCATTCCAAGCTCTTCTCTGTCCTGGCACCCCAATGGTGGAACCAGCTTCCGCCTGAAACTAGGACAGCAGAATCCCAGCCCATCTTCCGAAAACATCTGAAACCCTACCTCTTCAAACAGTATCTTAAATTATCCTCCCATTCACCACAACCCTACCCCCTCCCCGAGAGAGGCTGTTAGGAAGGAGAGAAATTAGAATAATATTAAATAATAAATAAGATTTTGTTCTAAATGTGTCTTCTACCTTATTATACATCTGAGACAGGTAGGAGGATGCATAATATTTGTAAAATCACAATATTCTTGTTAAAATAACTTATTGGAACAGAAACATTCAAAAAAACATTGCAAAGTCCAGTTAATCCTGTGATGTCGTCTATAGAAAATGTTGCATTACAGTAGAACTAGGGATGGATTTATTAGATATGAGGGTTTAAGACAGGTCCTTTTGGTTTCTCTCTCTTTAATCCTTCATTCACTAGGAAGAATTTTACCAATTAATTGGCAAGGTGCGACTCCACAGGAGGTTGTGAGGGAGAGAGAGAGACGACTCCAATTAGGAAAGGAGGGCAACCATTACAAGATGGTCTGTTTGAGAGTTTGATCTGTTTCCCTAATAGCGTTAACCAGTTATCAGATCACATTCTGTGTGTTACGCTATGGTTAAACCCAGCACTCAGAGAAACAAAACACGACTAAGGGAGTGGAAGAAACAAAAATTATTTTAATAAAAGTTCAATTAGTCTTAGTCCAAAAAACAACTGAAGAAAAGGAACAGAGTGGGCTAGTCGGCTCCGGAGGAAGGAGAGGCTGAGGCAGGCAGGCAGGTTGGGAGGTATGTCTGAACGCACTAGTAAGAACAACGATCTGGCGCCGGTGGAGAGCCATGC